CGGGGCGCGGGCAGGCTTGTGGCAGGTGAGGCTGCAGCTAAGAGCCACAGCAGAAAACAGCAGCCAGGTTGCTTCCGAACAAGGCTAGAGGCTGAAAGTGAGAAAAATCTAAAACAAACTAGCCAACTAGAGGGAGCCCTGAAGCTCTCGAGCCACACTTGACTGTGGGGCCAGTCCTGCTCCAAGCCCAGAGACGCCCGAGGCCGCCCAGGGCGGGGCTGCTGCTGGGGGGCAGGGCTGGGCAGAGCTGGGAGAGGCTGGGAAGGGGAGCTGGGCTGGGACGGGGCCTCCGGTGCGTGGCCTGAGCATCACGGGCAGTGCCTGGGGCCAATGCCTGGGGCTTCCTGAAGAGGAGGGGCCAGCCCAGCAGAACTTTTGGGCCAGGTACACCTGCCTGTGGGCTCGGAGTCCCAGAAGCGCGGCCAGACTCAGGCAGCCTAGGAGGAGGCAGACTCCTCGGTGGGCCTTCTTCGGGCCTCACCTTCATCTCGGTGCTACCCTTGGGCTCCTGCCTGAGCTGAGCAGACAGGTCCAGAAGTGGAGCCGGAGGGCTTGTCCTTGGGCTCCTCTGCCTCTGCCCCTCCTCCCCAGGGGAGGATTGGTGCCGGGGCTCCCCAGCCCCAAGGACAGCCGTGCTGGTAACCTGTGCCCACACTCCCCTCCTCCCGTCCTCCCCTCGCCCAGGGCCTCTGACCTGTCTGACCATGAGTCCACCCTTGAGAGCTCAGAGAAAAAGCCGGGTTAGACCGTTGTTCCATGGCACAGGCGAGACCTGACCCTCAGCCCCTACCCAGCGGCTGGTCCCAGCCCTCATGGCCAGCCAGAAAGCTTTCTGTGCCAGCTGGAGGGATGGGGGAGATTAGACAGGGAGCCAAAGCGTCCAGGAGGCTGGGGTGCGGGGCAGGGCGGGGCAGGGGAAAGACAGGTGAGGTGTCTTCATTCCCAAACCAGGCAGGGAGTGTGTGCTGTGTTTGCGGTCGGGCAGGGAGTATGTCGGATGGAGGCTCTGAAGTTGCAAACCTTGTAGGCCAACCTACGAGGGCAGTTCTTCCCTAAGCCAACAGGTGGCGCAATACAACGCAACAAAGTGTACATATCCTTATAATGAATCCGGCAACTGGAAAGGAAATGTCACAGGTTATGGTAACAAGGAACGAGGGAGCCCGTCCCACCCGCCGCCCCGCCTGCTGTGGGAAGCTGTGCCTTGCACAGTGTGCTGTGGGGTGAGAGGTGTGGCCAGACAGGGAGCTCCCTCTGGGGCTGGAGACCCCCAGGAGGGCCAGCAGTACTAGGGTGACGCCCGGAGTCCGACCCAGGCAAGAGACTCTCCATACAGAACTTCTGTGTGTTCCACAGGAGCAGAACAGGTCTACATGGCTGGCCCATGCTGAGCCCCTGCTCTACCGTGGCTGTCGGTCAGTCTTTCCTGGGCTCCCCATACCCTCCTTCCTGTTAGTGACTGGTCTCTAGGAGACTCCTCTGAGCTCAGGCACTGTCACAGCAACCTCGGGGGCACTGAGCCATAAGCCTTTGACTGCCCCATCTCCCTGGGTACTCTGCGGCCTCCCCTGACGTGCCGCTGTGGCTCAGGCTCCCTCATCCTGGGCCAGCACCCACTGCAACTCCGTCGGTCCACCCAGCTGCACGCTGTGTGCTGGAAACGAGGAGGGAGCAAGGAAGCCCCACTGTGGCCTCACCCGAGGTGCTTGCTAAGCTCCCTGGCCCCACAAGGGGCCCCCAGCTTCCATAATCGTCTCTGACCAAACCTGCCAGTTGCCACAGGTGAGAACAGCAGACTGACACTGTCACTTCCAGATTCAGAAACCTACCCCCCCATCCACAAAGCAAAATCAAAGTGTGTGGCCCTCCTCAACCTGTCCCAGCCTCCTCTAGCCCCTTCACAATGTTCTACAGACCGATACGGTCTGCCCCCTCCCCGCCCCCCCGGGCCTCTGTGCTGCCTCGGCTTCCCCTGCCATCTCCTCGGACTCACCAAGCCAGACGCAGACTCTCCCAGATATGGTCTGGCCTCGCCCTATGGCCACTCAGCTGTCCCCTCGCCCAGCTAGGCTGACAGCTCTGAGCACAGTCTGTGGGCTCAAACAATGCCTGCTTTGCCTTTGGCCCTACCCCAGCACACAGGAGACGCTCGGAAAATGTTATCAGACAGACAGACGAATGGACCTCAAAGGAATAAATGCTTTTCCGGAACCAAGGCTGCGATTCTCTGAGTGTCTGCACTCCACAGGGTGTCAGATGACAGCCAAAGGGAGGCTGCGGAAGGCCGTACCAGAGATCCAGTCCACACCTTCCGAATTTCTCCACAGCTTGCATGTGTGTGCACACAGGGCACACATGTGTGCACAAGCACATGGACATGTGTGCACACACAGTATTGAGGTGTGAGCACACAAACACATGAGTATGCACACACAGGCATGTATACACAACCATGCAGTTCATACACATGATCACACGTGTGCACACACATCACAAAATGCTATGTATACACTAGTGTGCACATGTGACTTGTGTTGCATGTGTGTACACACACCGATGTGCACATACACATATCCACATGCACATGCATACAGTGCTAGAACAGTGCACACATGCACACAAATGCACCGCTTATATGCACACATAGGCACACTTGTCCACGCTGTGGATGCACATGCAGCCACATGTGTGCACACATGCATGCATACACAAAACAGGACATGTCACAGTTCTGTTGTGGTTTCAAAGTATCTCCCAAAGAATGGGACACCTGAATGGGAGATTAAGACGACACATCCCTACACCTGCCATGGAGACTGCTGTTCGGCAGGAGGTACCAGCAGGGGGTCCAGACTCAATCTGCTCAGCTACTCTGCCAGACCCTCTGCCTTCCCAGTCATCTGCAGACAGCTGCATTTGTGCCTGGGTCGTTTCTGGGAGCAGAGGTATCATGTCCTTGCGCCTTCACAGCCTGTGGGTCTGGGCATGGCCTGGCATAGGCGCCCATGAGAGGCTGCCCCACTGAGTGCTCTTTCCTTGTCACTTCCCCAGCTGCCCACGCCTGCCGGGCCCAGAGCTTGGGACACAGCGGGAGCTCTCACTGCACACACAGCCCAAAAATGCAGGCTGCCCGGTGCCCTTGCTGGGCCGGCCAGGGTGTATAGCTCATGAAGATCTAGGAGACCCCCTTCCTGCTTTTGCCCTTCAGCTCCAACTACCACCTAGAAAGCAGCTGTTTCCGTAGCAGTCTCCTCCAGAAAACATGTTTCTAGGTCTCTAGAAAGCACAGTTGGGGTCCCACTTGGGACTCACTGAGTCTCTCCTGCCTTTACTTAACAAGCTCAAGGCCTCAGGTCAGTCTCCCCTCCAACCAATGGGCCTTCCTGACCACAGCCACGCTGAGCACTGAAGCATCAGACCTAAGGAACGCTCTGCAGCCACGGAGACAGCCGTGCACAGCACACCACACAGATCTGTGGCGCTCTGACATTTTCCACTAAAATGGAACACACAGAGACTCTCAGAGCCTGAACAAGAGGCATCAGTCCAGGGACCCTGACACTGCTCTAGAGCCCTCCTGGACTGGAGGGGGCCTCATGTACCTTCTGGACCCTCTCTGATGAGTGGTGCAGAAAGGCGAAGAGAGGCGAGGGGCAGCCAAGCGCCCAAGCCTTCTGTGTTTTCCAGGGCACGTTTCTATGCTTAGCCTCAATTTATGGGGAAAAAAAGCAGGACCCAAGAGGCTCTGTGGGCAGTATGAGCTGGGCACCAGGGGCCCAACCACCTCCTAAGGCCTCTCCTGCAGCACAGGGGCGCAGGTAGCTACTCTGCTCACGTCTCGAGGCACAGGAAGTGTGGCTGCCCACCCAGCCTGAGACTTGCTCATCCACACTTTCTGAGCACTGCCCCAGCACACGGCAGGCCCACGTCACCCAAAGCACGGCTCTCAGCCCCCCATCTCCGTGTGAACTCTACTCAGGTGCACGAGTGAGAGAGTAGATAAGGGGTGGACACAGTCGTCAGGAGTCCTGCCGCTTTACCCTTTCCCCCGGATTGCTCTCAGCCTGAGGGTGAAGGCACATCCTGGGTGAGCAGGGCTGCCCACACAGCAGTCTCAGACGGGCCCACCTCCTGACCACAGCTGCCCCATGTGCTCCCGGCCGGCTGGGGACAGGTCACCCCTCACTTGTGCCACACGAGTATCCTTTCCCTCCATGAGGATACCAGTACCTTCCTGGTCTCATCTGACTTCAGTGAGAGTTTACCATGTGCCTGCCACATGCAGCAGGCTGGGCACGTCAGCTCCTGTCCCCAAGGGAGAGACTCCTGAGCCCCTCAAGGAGAACACCCTTAAACCGCACATTATTTATGCTCTTGAGTCCCTCCAAGTTTCACAAGGATGGGGCAGCAGTGCGGTCTCCACACCCTTTCCTACAGAGCCCTCCCCAGCTCCGTCTGTGACAGGTCTGGAGCGAAGGCGGTAGTAACCTGTTCGGGAAGAGCCTTAGTCTCTAAGCTGACTCTATGGCTGGTGCTTCAGACAACGGCTCCCACAGGGTCAACCACATGGCTCGAGTCTCAGACCTAGCAGCTTGAGAAACAACCCGGGCACGTCCGCATGTGTGCCCCAAATCCCCCAAAGACAGAGAGGTGGAGAAGGGATTGCAGTGTGACTATTTTCCACAGGGGGAGCTTTCTTCTCTCCTTCTCTGTCTCTCTGTCTCTCTCTGGTGACCACACACATGCCCTCTAGGAAAAAAAAGAGCCCCAAGTCTCACAAGCCCCCCAAAATCCTCCCATGACACCCAGGCACCCTCCAGAGGCTCCCAGAAGACGGTTTCTCAGCCCAGGAGATGCACAAGGCACATGAGAGCCAAGGAAAGGCAGCAGTTGGGGTGCCGGCCCACCCTCCATGGAACAAGACGGGTCCCGGGCTCCATGTGACAGAGCACACGTATGTGGGCGGTGTTCAAAGGCCTACAGCTGCAGAGCGCCAGTCACTCACCACGCAGCCGGGTCATATTCAGCCCAGACCCGGATGAACTCGTCCAGGTGGTGTGGCCCGAGGATGGACGAGTCCCGTGTGAGGTACTCGAAATTATCCATGATCACAGCCACAAAGAGGTTCAACATCTGCAGGACAGGAGGAGAGGGAGTGACACAGAGACCTCAGCCTGCCCTCTTCCAGCCCCTCCCTCCAGCCACACCTGTGCATGAAGCTGTCAGGGTAGCAGAGCCCTTCACCCCCCCCCCCCGGCCGCCGGCCCCAAACACTGATCTCTATCGGGCATTTTGTCCTCTGGGGGCTTCTGCCCCCACTCTGCCCAGCCCTCATCCAGGCCGGTCCACCCTACCCACACCCCACACCCTTCAGCTCTCAGTGAATGCACAGGCCAACAACTTGTGTTCTTTTTAAAATTAAGTCGAAATTCACACACATACAATTAGCCATTTTAAAATACACAATTCAGTGGAATTTAGTCCAACATTGTGCAATCACCTCTCTAGTTTCAAAACTTTCTGTCCCCTCAGAAGATACTCAATACCCATCGATTAATCTCCGGCCATTCCCTCTCACCTCGCCCCCTGCAACTACCAGCTTCCTTGCTAGCTCCATAGATGTGTCCACTCTGATATGCACGTGGTGACAGAGACCACACAGGTGGGACCTTCCTGTCTGGCTTTTGTCACTCATGTGTGTTTCCAAGCTCATCCATCCGCATTGTGACACATGCCAAGGCTTCACTGTTTTCTATGGCTGACTATGTCCCGAGGCACACTGGGTCCTTCCCTCCTTCTGGCTAGTATCATTAAATATTGACATACAATACATCTGTATGTGCCTAGGGGCACAACTGCTGGGTACTAGTCATTCTATGTTAATCTGTTGAGGAACTGACAACTTTCCAAAGGTTGCTACATTTTCATTCCCACCAGCAACATACCACAGTTCTTATTTCTCCACACCCTCCGGCTTTTTAGAAAGTATTACTGTAGTAAATATTTTCTCTCATCCTGTAAACTGTATTCCCACATATTTAGGAATGTCCCTTGTACATCAGCACAACTCTTTCATTACTATGATGATTATTTTGTGATAGGGTACATGTCCTCACCAGAGACAGAGCCAGAGAGAGACAGAGGAGAATGAGAAATCACCCTCCAGGGAGGATGGCCACCCCACTCTGCAATCCTTTCTCCTTTAGACTCCTGCCAGGATTTTGGGCACACAAACACGTGCGCCCAGAGTGGTTTTCAAGTCACTGGGTCTGAGACCCAAACAGCACAGGCCAGTGTCGTAACCTCCACACCCCCAGCTGGCCCACAAGTCTTTTATTTTTTATGAAGTCCAATTCATCTTTCTAATTTTGTTACTTATGATTTTGGTGTCAAATCTAATTCAACCGCCAATGCTGAGGTCTTCAAGATTCACTCGCTACTTATTCTTATAATAGTTTTATAGTTTACACTATTTGGGTCTTGATCATGGAGTTAATTTTGCATATGGAGGTAGGAGGTCCAACCTCATTCTTTTGCATATAGATACCTAGTTTTCTCCACATCATTCATTTATTGAAGAGACTATTCTCTCTCCATTGAATTGTCATTGAAAGAAAGTGAATTCCCTCCACATTAGCACCCCTGCCAAAGACCAGCTGGTCACTGGGGCCTGGCTGTGGGCAGCGGTAAGGCACAGACCTGCGTGAAGCTGGCCCACATGGGAGGCCCCAGGGCCACATCCACAGACCACCCTGAGGACACCAGGCACACCCGTGCCCAGGATCATGTGCTGTCTGAAGGTGAGGATGGACTGTGGCATCAAGACCCTGTAGGGGAGGGAACCAGCAGTTAGCGTAATGGCTATGTCACTGGACTCCCACGTAGTTGACCACGGTTCGGGTCCCAGACCCAGTGGCTTAAAACTCACACCAGGCACATGTGCATGTGTGCCCAAGATCCCGAGAGGAGAATGGAGGAGAAGGGATTGCGGCGTGACCATCCCCCCGGGGGGTGATTTCTCGCTTTCTGTCTCTCTGTCTCTCTCTGTCTGTCTGGCGAGTGCACGCGCCCTATAGCGAAAAAAAAAAAAAAAGCCTCTCCAAAAAAAAAAAAAAAAGACCCTGTAGGGGGTGCTGTCTGTCTGTCTGTCTCTCTTCCTCCATGTTTTTGCTCGTAGGGAAAAAATAGTTGCAGGAACATTTTTTAAAGAAAGAAAAAAAATGAATTGCCCCTAGATGTTTGGGTTTATTTCTGGACTCCCATTTCTATTCGTACATGTCCTTATGCCAAGACCACACTATTTGCATTACTAAAGCTCTGTAGCAAGTTTTGAAATGAAGAAATGGGACTCTTTTGACTTTGTTTTTCTATTTTAATATTGTTGTGTAATTTAGGGGCCCCTTACAATACATACATAAAGTTTGAGAATCTGCTTTTCTATTTCTGGGGAAAAAAAAATAGTCCACTGGGATTTTGATAGGGATTTAATTTAATCTATCCACCACTTAGGAGAGTATTAGCATCTTTTTAAAAAAATTATTTATTTAATTTATTTATTTATTTATTCATTTATTTATTTATTTTTTAAATTTGACCAGAGAGAGACACACACACAGAGAAAGAGGGAGGGAAAGGGACAAAGGAAGCCACCAGGTCTGGGACTCAAACCGTGGTTAGCCATGTGGGAGTGTCCAGCAACTTAACCACCACACCACCTGCTGGTCCCATGGAGAGTATTAGCATCTTAACAATAAAAAAATCTTCCAATCCATGGACATGTGATCCCTTTAATTAAGTCTTCCTTAATGTCTGCCCAACAATGTTTGTAGCTTTCATCATACAAAACTTTCATCTTCTTGGATATTTATCCCTAGGTATTACTCTTTTAAATGCTATTTGAAATAGATCTGTTTTCTTAATTACCTTTTCAAGTTATCCACTGCCCACAAATAGAAACACCAATGATTTTTGTGTTCTGATTTTATACCCTAAAACTTTGATGAATTGGTTGATTAGCTTTAATAGTATTATTTGTGAGTGTCTGTGTTTATTCCTTGGGAATTTCTATACATCGAATCATACCTGCACACAGAGAGTTTTATTTCTTCCTTTCCAATTTGGATGCCTTTTGTTTTACTTGTTCAATTACTCTGGCTAGGACTTCCATCATGATGTTGAATAGATTCCACCATAATGTTGAAAATGGCCATCCTTATCTTGTTACCAAACTCTGGGGGAAAGCTTTCAGCAATGAGTATGATGTTAGATGTGGGTTTTTCACAGAAGTCGTTTATCAGGTTAAGAAAATTCCCTTCTATTCTTAGCTTGATAAGTATTCTCTTTTTATCATGACAGGGTATTTTATTTGGTCAAATGCATTTTCCTCATCTATTGAGATGACCATGTGGCTTTTCTTCATTCCAGTACTGTGATATGTTACACTAACTGGCTTCCTTATGTTGAACCACCCTGGCACTCCTCCGATAAATCCCACTTGATCATGGTGTAGAATTCCTCTAATATGTTCTTGGAATTGGTTTGCTAGTACAGCCATGTACACTTACTGATGGAGAAGTGCATTGTTAGGTGAGTTCTCTGTTGTGTGGGCATCACAGAGTGTGTTTACATGAACAGGTGGTGCAGACCACTACACACCAGGTATGTGGTCCAGCCCATCGCTCCTAGGCTACACACCTGTACAGCCCAGAACTGTCTGCATACTGTAGGCAGAAACACAAAGGTGAGCATTTGAGCATTAGATTTGTATCTAAACATATGAAAGGTACAGTAAAAACATGGCATAAAAGATAAACAATTGTGCGCTTGTGTAGGGCACTTGCTAAAATGGACCTTGCAGGACTGGAAGTTGCTCTGGGTGAGCATGAGCTGTGAGTGCATGAGAAAGCCCAGGATATTACTGTGCATGATTATAGACTTTATAAACACTGTACAGTTAGGCTGCACTAAATTTATTTTTCAAATATCTTTATTTCCTAAATAATAAATAATAAGGCTTACTATATAGCTTTTAACTTTATAAATTTTTTAAAAATTTCCAATATTTTATAACACTCAGCTTTTGTAAAACACAGCACAACCATACCAAAATATTTTCTTTGTTTATATCCTTATTCCATGAGCTTTTTCTCCTTTGATTTTTTTTTTTTTTTTACATTTCTCTTTTTAAATGTTTTTGATAACAACTAAGATCAAACGCACACATTTGCATAGGCCTACAGGGTCAGGGTCATGAATATCACTGTCTCTCACCTCCACATTTTGTCCCACTGGAAGGGTCATGAGGGACAAAACAATACAAGATCTAAATCAAGCACAAGAGAAAATGATACAATCCAGGGATGCAGTAAGTGGGGCGTAGTACACACTGTTCTACCGTAGCTCTTTCTCTTTCTGGGTTTGCTATGGGTATGGATGCTGGCCGGAGAGAAGGAAAGTGAAATCCCCGCCCTCCCCCGGAATGATAAAAGCACAGTATAGAAAACACATAAACCAGTTTCAAAGCCAGTTACTATCGTCCAGTCCCGTGCACTGAACGTAATTGAGTGATAGCACTCCACAAATACACGAGCCACGCTATGGCATCCCTGGGCGGCAGGGTGAGTACAGTCCTGCTCTCACCATGGGCCCGCCTCGTGTCCGCGACATGTCATGGACGGGACTCCCCTACGTGCCACATGACCGACCTTGAGGTAGCGTGGGTCTCCTTACACACAGGTTTTCTGTAAATATGTTAGTTTAAACAGTCAGTACTGGGAATGTATTTCCCTTTCCTTATGATTTTTTGGGTAACATTTTCTTTTCTCTAGTTTGCTTTATATAGATTATAGCATATTATATACATATATACACACATATATATATATATACGTACAATGTATGTGTTAACTGATTTACATTAAGGGTCAGGGTTCTGGTCAACCGTAGGCTTATCAGGAGTTAAGTTTTGGGGAAGTCAAAAGCTATTCATGAAATTCTGTGCTGAGGGCCAGCGCCCCTAGCCCCTGTTGTTCAAGGGTTGGCTGTAATTTTTGGAGGATTCTTTTGTCTATATTCATAAAAGACGTTATTTTTGAGGCATCTTTGGCTGTGGTTACAGGTGGGGTAGTGCTGGT